TTAGAATGAAACACAGTGTCATTTGACTTGGAGACAGAGACCAGAGTACGGTGGCTCTCCAAAGCCAGCGCACCGACGAGGCTAGTTAGGCTATAAACAAAGAGTGGAGTGTCGCAATACTCTAAACAATAATGCTGCAAGTCAGGTTGTGTGATTTTCTTTCTAGTTTTTCATGTTTAACTTTAATGGTTGCATCCTTTCATATTGTAGAAATGTATCTCTTTGTTAATTATGAAGTAGAATGGTGTGAAGAAAATAAGTGAGACAAGGAGAGAGAGAGAGAGCAAAAGTATTCCTCAAACTTAATAGAAAATTCTATAAGAATGGTGATAGGAAGTGCTTGTAGAAATCAAATAACCCTTGGTTGAAATTTTAATTTCAGTACTCCCAACTCAATCCATAAGAAGAACAAATAAAATCTTTTTAATTGATTATAGATGGAATAAAACCACAAGATACAATAGATCCTCAATTGGAGAGGAGGATCCGCTCTCCCAAACCCTTAGCCTCCAACTATAGCCCAAAGCATCCTAGAAATAATCTAATATCAGCAAAACGCATAACCCTAACTGTAGGGAAACAACTTATTTAAAGCAAATAATAGGAATCAAATATCAAAATAGCCCCTCATATTTGGATTTTTGCACCTAGCCACCACCTCCCCCTATTCGAAAAGTTCCCTTAGGCCCCACCCTACGGGGCACGAGATTCATTGTGCACTGCTCAGTTCTACCCTGCTCCTGCTCGATTTCACCCCACCTCCTTACGTAACATTTGGTCGATACCCAACATGGATTGATCTAGGAGGGACCAGTCTATCAATATCCCCGTCCCAAAGATCCGACTTATCCACATGGTGGAAAGATAGAAATTGATGCTTCACTCTCAACTCCCTCCTCAATTTCCTCCCCTCACATACTGTGAGAACCTGAAGAGATCAATCCTTATATCGGTGCCTCGATGTATACATTTTCTCACATCTAAAACAAAGCCCCTTCACCCTCTTCTCCTATAACTCTGTTTTTTGAGTTTCTTGAAATTTTTCTTAGGTCTCCCTACTATAATCTTCTCCTTCGGGGTCTCCCTAAGAGTACCTGATATTTGCTCCTTGGGTGCCAAAAACGTAGTGGTCATCCTATATGAACCTTCTGAGTTGTTGCCTTTAACCTCTCTCCAGGTGCCTTTGATTCTCTAGTAATTGGGCTAGCTCCATAACCTCTCTCAAATCATGAGGCCTTATCACTATAATTGTCGCTCGAATCTTTAGTTTGAGCCTTTTCATAAAGTTCCCCTCCAGTACAATCTCTAGAAGTCAATCCAACCTACAGGCTAGGTGCTCAAACTGCTCATGGTATTTTACTACTGTCCCCTCATGCGTAAGGGAGAATAACTACTCATAGAAATCCCCTCCTCTATTGGTTTGGAAATATCACTGCTAAAAGTCCTTAAACTCCCTCCAGGTTCGTATGGGTCGCCTAGTATCTCTCCACTGATACAATGTCAATGCTTTCCCCTCCAAACACATCCCAACTGTCATTGGTCTCTCCTCCATCAACCTATTGAAGGTAAAGTATCTTTCCGCCATGTAGATCCACTGACGTGCATTTTCTCCCTAAATAATAGGCATCTTCATCTTCCTCATCCTTGGATCTCCTCTGTTCCCCCTATTTCCTCCACAAATTCCCATTCCCCAAGGGAGTAGTTCCCCCAAGTGTCTCAATCATCCCTTCTACGCTCATAGTCAAACCTTTCATCAAATTCCCACATTGTCCTTTCAAATTTAGCACCACTTCAGTCATAATTAGCTCTTCTCCTCTCAAATTCAGCATCTCTTCGTTCATGCCCATTCCCCTCATGCCTCTCCCCATACCCTCTACCCGACTCATCCTTAAGAGTAGGCTCTAGGGGAGGCGTTCTCTCCTCCCCCTTTAATATCTACACCTTATGATCTTTCCTTCGCCTTATTTGATTAGGGTTTTCCCCACTTTCTTGGTTGTCGGTAGCTTCCCTTGCCTCCAACAACGTCTTTTTAGTTTGGCACTCGAGCAACTTCTTCAACATCTCCTCCAGGTTGAAAACTATCACCACATCGATTTTCTCATGGACGGCTGAAATTTGACTTTTCAAATCTAAAAATTGAGTTTGGAGAATGAAATTTCAAATTTCAATTATCTGATCTCCTCTACCAATACTTCTAAATTTCTTCCTGTCATATGTACCCGGTTCTAGACTCCAAACAACAAAAATTGGCTAAGAAACAAAGAATCTGGTCTTCAAACAGCACAATCAACGCATTCAGATGGTAAAATGTCACATAAATCAACGAGGAAGACTTATATTTCATCCCAGGACATCACTCTAATACCAATTTGATAGGAAGTGCTAGTAGAAATCAAATAACCCTTAATTGAAATTTTAATTTCAGCGCTCCCAACTCAATGCACAAGAAGAACGAATAGAAAAAAATAATAAAGAAAATCCTTTTAATTGATGATAGATGGAAGAAAACAACAAGATATAATGGATCCTCAATTAAAGAGGAGAATCAGGCTCTCCCAAATCCCTAGCTGTCGACTAGAGCCCAAAGCACCCTAGGAATAATCTAATTTCAGCAAAACACACATAACCCTAACTCTAGAAAAATAAGCTACTTAAAGCAAACAATATAAATCAAATTCCAAACCAGCTCCGCATATTTAAATTTTTCCTCCTAATCACCCCCTCCTATTCGAAAATTTTGCTTGGGCCCCACCCTAAGGGGCGTGGGATTCATTTGTGTGCCACTTGGTTTTTCCCTGCCTCCTTACATAATATTTGGCCAATCTAGGAGAGACCGGTGAAACATTGATTGATCTAGGAGGGACTAGCCTATCAGATGGTCAGATCTGTAATGCTTTTATGGCGCAAAATTTTTGCCATTAAAAGAGAAGCATGAAGTTAAGTGTTGCAGATATGAGGATGCTCAGGAGGATGAGTGGCTTTAGACCTAGAGTTGGAATGCGAAATGAGTATAAACGTGAAAAAGTTTGATACGCCCTAGGGTTTCACAATTTCGGTTTTGCCCTAATTTCCCCCAAAAGAGAGGAAGTTCTCCACCAAAACCAAAGAGAAATAATCACAAGATTGTTGGGATGAAAAA